TTTTTTTTTTTTTTTTTTTTTCATTAACTTGGAAAGAGTGATTTTGGGAGTGTAGCACGGAGTATATTACTAATCTCTCAATTGTTTTTAAAGGAGAGCCGACAAGACCCATAATTCCTTTCCAAGGGCTGAGACAAGGAACCCACTTCCCCTTCCTTACCTGATTAGACCAGTCATGGAAGGCACGAGGAGTTCAAATGTGTGATGCAGACATTTTCACACCCTTATAAAAATGTTTGCACCCATCTTTCATCGATGTGGGATATCACAATCCACTCCTCTTCAGGGTCCAGCGTCTTCGCTGACACTTGTTCCTCTCTCCCATCAATGTGGGATCTCACAATCGATGTTTGTACCTATCTCCAATCGATGTGAGATATCACAATCCACCCACCCCCCTTCAGGGTCCAGCGTCTTCGCTGACACTTGTTTCTCTCTCCAATCGACGTGGGATCTCAAAATCGATGTTTGTACCTATCTCTAATCGATGTGGGATATCACAATCCACCCCCCTTCAGGGTCCAGCATCTTCGCTGGCACTCGTTCCTCTCTCCCATCGACATGGAATCTCACAATCCACCCCCATTCAAGGCTCAGCATCCTCGCTGGCACACTGATCAGTGTCCACCTCCCTTCAGGGCTCAACATCCTCGCTGGCACACCGGTCAATGTCCACCTCCCTTCGGGGCTCAGCATCCTCGCTAGCACATCGGTAAGTGTCCACCTCCCTTCAGGGCTCAGCGTCTTTGCTGGCACACCATTCAGTGTTTGCCTCTAATACTATTTATAACAGCTCAAGCTCACCACTAGCATATATTATTCTTTTTTAGTTTTTCCTTTCAGACATCCCCTCAAGGTTTTTAAAACGCATCTGCTAGGAAGAGGTTTTTACACTCTTACAAAGAATGATTCGTTCTCCTCTCCAACCGAGGTGGGATCTCACCAGAGAAGCATGTATAGTTTAGCATTCTTTAGAAAGGAACATAATAAAATGTTACTTAAATCAGAGACTTGGTTTTAAAAACTCTAGTATACATTATAGATTACACAAGGATTCATCCCACTACAAACCCCGAGGCTCTCCCGTTCAAAATCTGCACAAATCTATCAGCTAAACACAGAAGTCTTAAGTGAAAACAAAGAGCAAGGGGTTTAATTTAATAAGGAGAAGAAGAAATGAAGATATGTTAGGGCAAAGGGAGACTTGATAGACAAACCCCATTCATCAGCAGACACAAGATTGTACAAGACAGAGAGATTGCTTTTTACTCCAAAACCAAGCCTGACTTCTGCATTATGTGCACTTCCTTCCCATTATCTCCTGAAATGAACAGGAAAATAACCTTAGAGGAGGAGACTGTGATCTTACAAGATATATGAATCGGTCAACCAGTGGAAGATGAAAAGAGCTTCTTAACCAATTAGAAGTATCTTCACAAGTATTCACAATATGAACGTTTAAAAATGATATCTTTTCAAAGTGTCTTTGCAAGAAAATTGCTTCACTTAAAAGCACCACTCTTAAAAGTCAATTAATAATTTCATGTGGGTTCAATGTAAACTATGAGCAATGACAGAACCAACAAATCCTAGGAATGCATCTCATTAACATCAACATGAATTCCAGTTATTTGTTGCACCGGCCAAAGAATAGTAGTAATAATAGAAAGAAAAACTTCGAGAAATTCACAGAAATTTAGAAGTGAAAAAGAAATAAGTTTATTAGTGATTGGGAACTCAGCATTCAGAATTAGTTCAGTAATTTCGTTTTAAGATTACCTGACTTAGGATAGGTAAGTATCACTTAGCTACTGTCAGAATCGCTATCTTCTTTTGAGTCACCAACTCGAAAGATGTATACCTGAAAGAAGAACAGAAAAAAAATTAAGTAATTGAGGTCTGTTCAGTCAAAGACTATAGATATGTGGACTACACCAAGATGTACTGTGTTAAGAACAGTTATGCAAGAAACATACATAATCCCTATATATTTGAAAGAGTATGGTCCTATAATTTCAAGAAAATTAGAATCTTATCCTTATGATTTAAAACTATTTAGCAAACCATGGAAACTACTTATGACATTTTATCAAATTATATTGCTAAAATTCCAACTTTTAAAATTATAAAGACAAGATTTTAACTTTCTTCGAATGGCAGGAACCAAATTTGTAATTTAACCAAAAAATTTCTCCCATCAGTAATGCTCTCCTTTGTCTTGTCAGCCACAAGCTAAACCAACAGATTTTCAAAACTAAAAAAAGGTAAATTTTGAAAACAAAAGTAAACAAATAAAGGGTGAGTAAGGTAAACTAGAATGAGAACTGAAGAGTGATAGTGCACCAAAAAAATGCATACACAGACACCAATATATTGTGCTTGTTTCTGAAAACTTATGCAGACAACACAAACGTTGAAGAACTTTGAACAATCACCTTGCAGGTTGTAGGTTTAATGAGTTGAAAAATCACAGCATCCCCATCTGCCAATTTATGAGCAACTGAAAAACCCTTCCATCCTCCACTAAACCCTGTCTTTCGCGCCAAATATATTATTGGATACTCATCGCCACCTTCATCCATTAAAGTCATTACTCCATCATTGGTTGGTAGGTGCTCCTTGCAGAAATGAGAAGGAAGCCCCTGCGTTTACAAGTATTTTTTCCTATAAAATAGTTTCTAATTGACTAATACCACATCCAATGTTGAGAATTGTTGGGAGAGAAGTCCTAGGTCCGTTAATTAAGGAGTTGATCATGGATTTATAGATAAGGAACACATCTCTATTGGTATGAAACATTTTGGTTTCCAAAGTTATGAAAGCTTATGCTAATATGAGTACTAGTGTGGAAAGTCGTGGTTTCTAAGATCCAGCACAACAAGTTTGACAGACAGAGAGGAAATAGGGCTAGAAGATCATACGCTCAACGGATAATTCTACTTAGCTTACCAGCCAGAAACAACCGCTTACATGAGACCGAACCATTGACTTTATAAAGTTGGGATAATTTGGCTCCAATACAGATTGTAATCGCTCAGCTCTTTCAAACGCATTTTTTCTTGCTTCATCCGAAGCAAAAAAATGGTCTGGATAATCTCTTGCGCTGGAGAATCTACATAATCCCAAGAAAAAAGAAAAAAAAGAAAACGAGTAACAGTACTGAACGATTCAACTCTATGGAGAGCCTTTAATCTTTGTTTCTATTTCCATTTCAGCAGAGATACCTTTTAGGAATCGCCACGCGATTGACAAGAACCTGCCAGATTAATTGAAAAGAAACGAAAACAAAACCAGAAACAAAGGGATTGTCAGGACAAGAATTTCCAATCCGTTAAAAAGCAGCAATAAAACCCTAGTTCATCATCCAGTTAGGTTTAGCATAACACGGAAGGCTTACTTCAGCGTAAACAGGCCCTGGTTGTTTTGCTACACGACTGGATCTCCTCACTACCACCAGTTGTTTCTTCATCTCACGATGCTTGGCCTGTTTACTCTGGATCGATTAAGCCGCAAAAGAAGCTCAATATTCCATGGAAAAACACAGAGCAACAGAAGATTGAGAAGGAAAAAGAAAAAACGAAATGAAATTACAGGGGAGGATTTGGATTTGGAAGGAGAAGAATCGATGAGAGCTTGAGAAAGCAAGGGCAGATTTAGGGCATCCATTCTCTTCTTGTTTTCTTCGACTCTCTTACGACGACATTCCTCGTATGAGAGATTAGCGATTCCCATGGTCTCCTCTTAGGGTTTGGTCTCTGTGTGAAATGGAAACAAAGAACAGATGAGTAGCAGAAATCACGAGCTTCGGTACGTTTTGATGGAAATTTCGATTTCGTACGGAAAATTGATTCGCAGTCGACCGTTAAAGTTCCCAATATTTTGAAAATGCTAAATGATTTTTAAAAAATTAATAAAATAAAATTTGTGTAGCCGTCTTAGCTCAGCCGGTAGAGCGCGTGGCTTTTAACCACGTGGTCGTGGGTTCGATTCCCACAGACGGCGTTTTGATAATCCATTGTTTTTATTAACTGCTCATAGGTAGAGCCTTACCCACACGTGGACTGCGTGAGGGTGAAATACTATTGAAAATTGAATTTGTGTAGCCATCTTAGCTCAGCTGGTAGAGCGCGTGGCTTTTAACCACGTGGTTTGATTCCCACAGACGGTGTTTTGATAATCCATTGTGTTTATTAACTGCTCACAGATAGAGCCTTACCCACACGTGGACAGCATGAGGGTAAAATACTATTGAAAATTGAATTTGTGTAGCCGTCTTAGCTCAGCTGGTAGAGCGCGTGGCTTTTAACCACGTGGTCGTGGGTTCGATTCCCACAGACGGCGTTTTGATAACCCATTGTTTTTATTAATTGCTCATAGATGGAGCCTCATTCACATGTGGACTGCGTCAGGGTGAAATATTATTGAAGATTGAATTTGTGTAGCCGTCTTAGCTCAGCTGGTAGAGCGCGTGGCTTTTAACCACGTGGTCGTGGGTTCGATTCCCACAGACGGCGTTTTTATAATATAATCCATTGTTTTTATTAATGCTCATAGAAAGAGCCAAACCCTAGTTGCGTTCTGATGTGGACACGTGGATGGCGTGTGGGTGAAATATTATTGAAAATTGAATTTGTGTAGCCGTCTTAGCTCAGCTGGTAGAGCGCGTGGCTTTTAACCACGTGGTCGTGGGTTCGATTCCCACAGACGGCGTTTTTATAATATAATCCATTGTTTTTATTAATGCTCATAGAAAGAGCCTTACCCTAGTTGCGTTTCGGTGTGGACACGTGGACGGCGTGAGGGTGAAATATTCTTGAGAATTGAATGTGTGTAGCCGTCTTAGCTCAGCCGGTAGAGCGCGTGGCTTTTAACCACGTGGTCGTGGGTTCGATTCCCACAGACGGCGTTTTATGACAATCCATTGTTTTTATTTATGCTCCCTACCCTAGTTGCGTTTCGGTGTGGACACGTGGACGGCGTGAGGGTGAAATATTGTTGATAATTGGATGTGTGTAGCCGTCTTAGCTCAGCCAGTATAGCGCGTGGCTTTTAACCACGTGGTCGTGGGATCGATTCCCACAGACGGTGCCCTTTTTTAATCCATTATTTTTATTAATGCTCTTAAATGGGCCCTACCCTATTTGCAGTGCGGTGTGAACACGTGGACTGCGTGAACGTGAACTATTAAAGAGAGAATGAAAATGATAATTAATTATTAAATATTGTATAAATATAAATATTATTGTTGCAATTTGTAATAAAATTTTATTTGAAAATCTCATTAACTCAATAGTATCAAAATTTAATTCAACTTTGATTAATACTATTGAATAACATTGTTAAAACTCACTTAAAAAAAGTTTAGTTATATAATTATCTAACTTTGAGGCATAATTTGATAAATTAGAAGTTGATAATTAAAATTAATAAAGTTGACAAAAAAACGAGGGGTAAAACCAGTTTTTCCCCCGAAAAATTAGGAAATTTCCATTAAAATTAAAATTTAATTAGTGATTAATCCAATATCTGTAAACAATTACAGTACAACACTTATCAACAATTACACACACAAACACAAAATTTGTTTATGCATACAGAAAGAATGCAAAAGATGTTATCCCAACTCCATTAATAGTTTTTCAAGTGCTTCAGATGGAAGAGGTATATACAAGCAATCTTGACCATCAGAATGCCTTCTGGTTTTCACCAATTCGTGGTCTTTAAATTCAGTCAAATGGGAGTTCAGTGTTACCTGGCTGCTCACTAGAAACCGCTCTCGACTAATCGCGTACAAGTTATTGATTGGCATACCTGAAATTTTGAAATGATATCATCTGATGGATGAAAGTCCCACATCGGCTAATTTAGGGAATGATCATGAGTTTATAATCAAAGAATACTATGTCCATTGGTATGAGGCATTTTGAGAAGCTCAAAATAAAACCATGAGAGCTTATACTCAAAGTGGACAATATCATACCATCGTGGAAGTCGTGTTCATCTAACATGGTATCAGAGCAATGGTATGATATAAGTTATTGGGTATAGAGATTTGAGTCGATAATATATATCTTAACATGTTGAGCTACGCTTAGCTTGGCTACTCATATAATAAACAAATGATGAGATTACCTTCTTCATCGGGATGAGATAGCTGATGTTCTATAAGAACTTTGAAAACACTTTGAGCATTGGGCGTCAAACTCTGTAAAACTATTGTAGCAGTTTTCGCACTTTGAGCCGTGCCACCATGTGCAAGAATCAAAGGGAAGAACATTCCTTCAACCTTGTAAGAGGCAAACGTTGGAACATGATACCATAACCAGTTAAATTGTGTGTGAACCATCTTCTTGTCCCACACTGAAAAAACCAGAATTCATGATTTAGTGAGATATAGATCAATGAAATAGTGCAATTTGTAATGGTTTATACAACATCTTCTTGTCCCCCATTACTCAAGTCCCAATATCAGCACTAAAACTAAAAGAACTATTCATCTACTTTTCTATATGTAAAAGAGTAAATTGACCCAGTTCCTAGACGGAAATGATCATCATGTTGAAGTATTAATATGTTCAATTAATAAATTTATAAAGAGAGGTTATATGTTTCATGATCCGGGTATCTTTTCATATGAATGATTTGGATCAAATCATTTGTAATTATTACGAAATAAATCATTAGTGTTATCCTCTCGATAACCTTATATCCATAATCCATATATCATAGACTTTTTTAGGTTATTTCTCATTCCCATGTAACAAAATTCTACTTCCACAGCTAGCAATACGAAGAATTAAAGGCATTGGTGTGATGTTTGAAACCCATAATTCATATTAAATATTGATGAAAAGAAGAAGCATTATACTTACAAAGTGGTGCATTCACGTGGTCAATGGAGGCAATAATTCGAACATGGGAACAAGCAGCAACTCGGGCAAGATACTCCTGAGTTTCAGAATCTCTTAACCCAGCTCCATCAATGTTGTGTATCACAACGCAAACAAAACAATCCTTGTCTTCCTCATTTGATCCATTCAAAAATGAAAACAGATCGTCCATGGATCGCGAGGTAAATGGATGATGAACTTTAGATGTGCTACCTGATGCATTTCTAACTCGGGATTTCAACTGATCCGACAGTACTTCAGCTATGGCTACTATAACCTACACAAGAAGAATTGCAAGACTTTAAGAACACATAAAAACGATTTGGTATGAGGATATCCATTGGCTGAAGGATACCTGTTTAATATTGACTGATTGAAGATAGCCATTGATAACTATAACAGAATAATCCGTCAATGCTGTCGAAGCAAAATCCTCAATCAAGGCCTTCTTCGAACCAAATCCATACATTAGAAGTCCAAAACCGCATCTGCATTACAGACGCGATTTTACTAGAGGAATAGAAAAAACATCCTTAAAGGAAATTAAAAGCCTATCCATAGCAAGTTCATCGGCTTTTAGTTCGTAAAAATCCTAAAGTGATTCCGCAAATTACAACCAAGGATCTCCTAACGAACAACAGCACAGTTCAACTACCGTGAAAATGGCATACCTAAGCTCAAACTCCCACTTGGAGTACAAACTTTTGTAGCTAGCTATCAGAGCCGCAATTTCTTTCTCATGCTTAGGCTCGATTTTCGCCGCCGCCGCCCTTAATTCCTGAACATTAAGTTCTTACAAATCATTTTCCTACAAATCAAAGTAATTTCAATTTGAAGAACTTAAACACCGGTACCTGTTCGTCGACGACGTCAATGTCGGCGAGTTTCCGAGAAGATTTCTTCTTCGAGCCGCCCAATTCCTTCGCCAGAAAATAATTCCTGGAAAATGCCAACTCTTCGTCGTCCAAATCATCGATCTCCATGATAACAATGAACAGTTACCCCACGAATGTGAGGGAAAATGGCTGCAATGGAGCGAACCCTAGAGAAAGCTCTGTTTCTTTTCCCGCCATTTTTAGCCTTCAACAATTGGGCCGCACCCGTTTACCTGGCGGCCCAATTACACAGAGCCAGATTAAACCAATTGTAAATTTATGAATAAATACGATTATATTTAAATTATTTTACAATTTAATAATATATATATATTGAATTTACCTATATACCCTTTTCAATAAATCATTTTTAAATGGTTTTAAATTATAAAAGTAACAATATTCTTATCAGCTCACATTTTTTTTACCTGACATTTTTTTTTACCCTTTTTGTGTAAGTGCTTTTATATTGCTGTAATTTTCTTTTTTTGACCTTAAATAAAAAAAAAATTACAGTGTGGACGAGAAGGGTAGTTTCGGTAATAAGCTGAAGGGAAAGGCTGAGTAGATAATCATTTTCAATGAAGTCTAAAAAAAGCGATTTATATAATTTAATTAATCTCTGTTTTTAATTTTTATGCCCAAAAAGGAAACTGTGCAGAATCGGTTAACTATTCACAAAGGCGAAGGTTTGATGCTCGACGCAGGTTTGGCGGATCGTCGGCGACAGACGGCGGACTGAGATTTGTTGATTTCTTACAAACCTTCCGGCGGGCGTTAGCTCCACTGCCGGACTTGCCTTCTAATTGCGTTGTTGAAATCGCCTGCGGACGGCGATACAGCGGACAATAGCGCGGAAAATCTTGACCGGATTTCGATAATTGTATTGGTTAGTTGTGTTTTATCAGCAAAACAAGTGTAATTGTCAGAGAAAACGATTTTGCTCGTTACTGTTTGCTGGAAAAGAAATTTATGGATTTGGTGTGAAGATCCATCGGATTGATCTGCTTGAAATTTTGCTTCCATTTTGTCTTCTGTTTCTGGTGCGAGGTGTTGATATATAGAGAGAGGAGATATAGTGGTGGGATGAAGGTGAAGAAGAAGAGATATGGCGAAGGTAGAGTGGGGTTATCAAGGAAGAGGTAAATTGGCGTTTTCGTACAAGAAAACCACTCTCATCATTTGCTCTATCAACATTATCGTTGCTCTCTATGTTCTTCGATCTCTATATGCTTCTCTCTACCTCTATACGGATAATGATTCTCGAAGTGGTTAGTGTTTGAGCTAGTTTCCTTTTTCATTTTTTCTGTTGTTGATTCGTGTTGAAGATTATTGAGCAATGTTTAACATTGTATTTATTCTGTCTATTTTCTTTATTCTGAGCTAGTTGTAAAGTACACTCCGGATCAGATTAGGAAAATGGAACAGTTTATTCGGATTCGTCGAGCCTCTAAGCCGGTAGAGCTCATTAAATTTGTAAGACTCCAACATGATTTGAGGAACTTTGTTTGTTCAATTTACCGTGTGTAGATCTGTTTTAGGAGAACTTATATTTGTTTGGTGAATATCATTCTTTTGGTGTAAAGGTTAAGGAGCTTAAAGAATTCTCCCAAGAAGAAACGGTGAATGAATTGCCTCAACCATTGAAACAGAAGATAACTGAGGAAATTCTTCTGAAATTGAGAAGCTCAAATACTAGCTCCAACAGTACTCAGCAGAGAGGTCAGCACTGTCTGATAATTTCCTTGCAATATCTATCGCCTAGAATTCTCACTGCTTAGAGGGCAAAGATATTGGATAGCAATTACTTCAAGCATTTGATTGGTTAACCTTTCTCTTAGATTCGATCGATCATAGACTAACACGTTTTCTTATTTGTTCATTTTTCACAAAAGAAGTTTGATATCAATATTCTGATAAAATTTAAGTTAGCAAGTATTGTTATTTTGGCTTGGGTTATGCCTGAATACCATGGTTATCATTTTTCATGACTAGACTGTATGGCACTAGTGTGACTCGAGTCGAATCCAAAGAGACTATATGTTAGCTGCATCACTTTAGAGAAACGGAATTGACTTTTTTTCTTAGATAATTGTCTTGATATCTAAAACTGTAAGATTATTCCCTATAGTTATGTAGCAAACTAGTTGGCTAGAGTTCATTTCCAATTCAATTTTGTTTAGAGTTGCCATTGATCTGACACTGATTACTTGTTGAATTGAATGTATTAGATTCGTTGTGGTCACAATGATGTTGTTGCTGCTTGACATAACATGTAAACTGCCACATAATATGGTCATAATTTTGGAAGTTAGTTTGTACCTTGGTTTCATATATGTCAACCTGCTCTACCTTTTTTTTCTTTTTTCTCAACACTAATACTTCACTAGAACACTATAGATTTAAGAAGTATGAATATAGATACAAGACACGGATGCAACACCACAGAGACGTGGTATATGTCATCTTGTAAAATTCTAGGAAGTGAGCATGGCAAGGACATGTTTATTAAAATATACATTTTTTAAAATACATATCATTTTTATACCAGAAGAAAATTTGACGTTGATAAGTTAATGCATTTATATGCTCTAAAAAATGAGTTTGGTATATTTAACTCTCAAAATTTATTATTTTTGTCCTAGATTATTTTGTATCTGTTTAGTATACTTAATAAGAGATCAATATAACAAATGTTGGGCCTATTTTGGATTTGTATAACTAGTGTTTTTTTAACACATATCTCTTTTGCTTTCAAGTGTCTGATGTGTGTCCAACAAGTGTCCAAGTGTCTATATGAACACGCCAGTCAAACTGAAGTGCTATTAGATATTGTATTCAACCAACTTCATTCAGATTAGATTACTAATGGCATGATTTTTCTCTATTCCATTTCAATTCTTTACTACCTCCAAGAAAATTTTATTTTCTCAACTCTATTGCTTTTGCATCTTTTTGTGAAGAAAAGAATGTACGTGCTATGGTCATGCAGGTTTCTTTTGGTCAAATATTTTTTAGTGTGCATCATTTGTAGATAAGTTAAAATCTTTGCATTCCTTGAAAAGAAACAAAAGTATATGCATCCACAGGAAGACTGAAGTGAAAAGTTTACTTGTTAAAATAACCTCTCAATCATAGTTATAGAATAACTTTAAAACAAATTTGGAAAGACTGAAGTGAGAAAAAGGAACTGGAGAAACGAGGTCTCGATACTCATGAGGAGAAACCTCCCTTCTATTGAAAATGCGACTGTTCCTTTTCAACCCGATTTCCTTAGAAATAGCTCCTAGGATCAGTTATCCATAAGATCGTGCTCCCCTCTAAAACGGTGACCAAGTAATAATTGATTATTGAAAACCTTTAAATTTCCAAGCTGTAGAATCTGATGGCTGAACAGTTTGAAGAAGCCTCCTACAAAAACTGCAAACTAAGGAGTATTCTGAAAAGAAGCAAATCTTTTAGCGAACCACATTCTTTTCTGACCTTTTAACCTAATGCTGCAATTGGTTAATGATTCAAAGAGGAAAACTGAGTTTGCATTCACTAACATATTTGCATGTTTCCTTTCAAAAAAAAAATGAAAGGTTTCCTTTGGACCCCTTTTTGGCGATGGTGATGTGTGTGTGTGTGTTGGGGGGGTTGGTTGGGGAGACCTTATAAAAGGGTCTCTCAAGTTAGATATTTCTCGAGTTACTGGATTAAATATAATTTGAAGATCGTACCAAGTGTATCGACCTATATAGCATATAGAATTATAAAGTAACAATTCCTATATTATAACAATAACAACGACAATAATATCAAGAAAAAGAAGGGGATGATATATTTTATCCTACTGGGGTTAGATTCTTAGTTATTAATAACCATTGTGGTACAGCACATTAATCATTAGTTGCCAAAACAATATATTTCTACGCTTCCCCCTGGCTGTCTTCATAGACATCAAAAATGTGTTGGATATTCTACAATCTGCATACACGTATTCATTATTGCAACTAAAGTTTAAAGGTGAGTAAAGTGTGCAATTTATGCTTCATGAATAATCTGCTATCTTGCCAAAATTTAATATCCTGCAAGATGTTTCTTGTTATAATCTTCCACTTAAATGACCAGAAGCAGTAGAAAGCTGGAGAAAGGAAAAATTGGAAGAAGCAAGGAAGTTAATCACAGAACAAACGATTGAAAATTCAACTCTTTCTTCTGAAGATGCTGGTATGGAAGTTCTGTAACAGTGTACCTTTTGTTTTTTGTAATATTGTGCTAGAAAGTCATACCTGAGATGCAGACCTGTGAAAGACACCCGATAACCTCGTTGGACCGATGCCAATAAACTTTTTTCCTATTCTGGCAGGGATTCTAGTAAAAGCCTTGGAGACTGATTGGGCAGTGCTGGCTGAAGAAATTGGTGTGTGGATACCAGCGGAGATCTTCAACAGGGAGCATGATGATAAGCCTGAAGACGCAGATGAATTCGGTAAATTTTTGCGACTCCCTAGAGCGACATTTTGTGCACCATATTTATTAATTTCTTCTAGCTAAAATCTCAGTTTATATGTCACCAAGTTGTTCATTCCCCCTCTTTATGCAGATGGTGAAGTTTTACCTGGCAGGCCACTTCCACCTGAATGTAACGCCGAGCTCCATACAGATTACGGTGGTGCTGCTGTAAGATGGGGCCTAACACATCATAAACAAAGTGCAGCGGATTGCTGTCAGGCTTGCTTGGATCATGTGAAACGAGCGCAACCAGGTGGAAGAAAATGCAACATCTGGGTTTACTGTCCATCTGAGACTGGATGCCACTCTCCTGATATCTATGAGCATAAATATATGGAGTGCTGGCTGAAATATGTAAGCTCCAAACTGTTTTTGTGATGGTAAATCTCTTTTGTAGGCTCACTTGAATCTAACTTTTCAAATCTTCAAATTCAAATGCAGGCAGAAACTCCCAAACTGAATTTCAAGACCTACTATCCACAATCTTACAGAAACTCACACCCGACCGCCCCGCTGATCGTCCCTTGGGTCTCTGGTGTTATTAGCGTTTAATTGTACGACAAATCAGGCAAGAAACTTCCACTAAAATGATTGTGACTTCCCTTGTCTTTCTTACATTTGAGCATCATTGTCCATAGAGTAGTATGAATGAAAATTTTGAGGGCTGTTTAGGGGACTATAGCAGTTGATTGAATGTTCTGTTTGATTCATATCTGGCTTACTTTCATGTAACACGGGTTTTGGCGAACTTGGTGCCACCACTTCATATCGACGAGTCGAAGGCCGAGAGGGCGATAGAGGTAACATGAAAAAGAAAGGCTATTTTTTTTACTATTAACTTTTGGAATTGATTTATTTGAGCTTTGAACTTACTCTCCAATGTATTTAAGGGTATATGATGAGGTTCCAAATGTTTGGAAAAGCACCACCACTAATCTACGTTGATTTTTCAGATAATGGCATGAGCATCTGTTTAGTCAAAAATTTTGGGTTGAAATATTTTTTAGACCAGGGTGGAGAGTTCTAATTTTATCGACTCAAATAATTATTATTAAACAATGATCCCAATTAGTTTAATCCATCCACAAAATTTTTGGGTTGAGTTGGTTGGAGTTCAGAAAGTATGTTAGTTCGTAAAACGTATATTTATTTACTTTCAAACATTTAATAAAGATTTGCCATTCGAAGTCAATATATATTTTAAAAAATTATTTTATTAGAGTTGCGAAAGAATAAATAATTATAAAATTAAATAAAAATAGAAGATATTGTAAGCAATTTTTTTAATTAACAATTAATTCGAGTTGAATTGATTCATTTTTGTTGGATGAAAGTCCCATGTCGGTTAATTTAGGAAATGATGGGTTTATAATCAAAGAATACTATCTCGATTGGTGTGAGATCTTTTGGGAAAGCTCAAAGTAAAGCCATGAGAACTTATGCTCAAAGTGGACAATATCATACCATTGTGAAGAGTCGTTCATCTAACATGGTATCAGAGTCATGCTCTAAACTTAACCATGTCAATAGAATCCTCAAATGTCGAACAAAGTATTGTGAGCCTCGAAGTCGTAGTCAAACAATGACTACTGACTAGTGTTGGATGAAAATCCCACATAATTTAGAAAATGCTCAAACTGAACAATATCACAGTGGAGAATCATGTTCATTTAACAATTTTGACGAATAAATTATACATAAAATTTGTATTTAATTGAACCCATTTGAACTCAAACAGGTTCATTGCTCAGTCGAGATCAAATTTTTTTCCGGATATAGAATTTTATGAAATCCCTAAATTATGATATTTGGAATAATAATAATGAAGGGATAGCCAAGCCCATCTTCAGCGGCCCACCTTTGAGTGGCCCATCTTCAGCGGCCCATCTTTCGAATAAATAAAATAAAATAATAAAACAACCCCTCTGCCTTATGCCTTCCATCGTCACGCCTGCTCCCCGTTCCGTCGCGCTTAGCGCCGTTGCCGCATTCCTTCTCCACCGATCTTCTACCTGTCGTCGGTCTCAGGTATTTTCTCTCTCCCCCCATATTTGTTTCATTTCTTACAACGGATGAACGTCTGCAAGCTCAAACGAATCCGAAAATCGGTTCGATTCAAAATCGATTTTGCCTAATCATTAACATTCTTATGATCAAGATTATTGGTTTCGTTATTTGTTTAGCCAAAAACTATAGAAACCGAAGCTTCAGGATTCTGCTAAATGATAGTTTATGCGAGGAGAGAAGATCGAGTGAAATGTCCAGTAAGTGTATGCGAGTATAAATCTTAACAATTCTGGGTTTAGTGGTTTGCTTTTATGAACTGTTTAATAGAGCTACGCTACCATCCTTTAGTTTGTAAACATTGAAGTTATTGTGTATTTGAAATCGTTGACAGCCCTTTAATCTTTGAGAACAAACTATCTCTGAGAAAAAAAAAAACTAAAAGAAAACTTCCTAACAGTACCTTAATGGTATTTATGCGGATTTGATAACCATTTTGATTTCTTACCTTTTATGGATCATAGATTTATCTTTCGTCGTAAAACATTTGAGTTCGAAGCTAAATTTAAAACTAAATAGTGATATGACAAACGGAGTGTAATAGCCCAAGCCCACCGCTAGTAGATATTGTCTTCTTTGGGCTTTCCCTCTCGAGTTTTCCCCTCAAGGTTTTTAGAATACCTCTGCAAGGAAGAGGTTTCTACACTCTTATACACAATGTTTCATTCTCCCCCCAACCGATATGGGATATCATTATCTACCCCCTTTTGAGACCCAGCATCCTTGCTGGCACACCACCTCGTGTCCACTCCCGAACCTAGTGTTTGGCTCTGATACCATTTGTAACAGCCCATGCTCACTACTAGCAAATATTGTCCTTTTTGAGCTTTCCCTTTTGGGCTTCCCCTCAAGGTTCCTAGGACGCATCTGATAGGGAGAGGTTTCCACACTCTTATAAAGAATGTTTCGTTCTTTTCTCCGACTAATGTGAGATATCACACTAAGTTAGTTTGATTTTAGGAATTTGATATTATCTATTCCATCAATTGTCATTATGCTTATAATTTCCGTTGCACATATCTCAACGTGTTTAGAAATTGAAGCCATTGCAAATGAGTTCAAGCAGTGGCTCCATTGGTGAAACTTATTATGATGTACTGTCTTTGAGAGAAGATGCTAGCCATGACGAAATTCGAGCTAGCTACCGGTCTGCCCTCCTTAATTTCCACCCTGATAAGTTACAAGCTATGTGCCAGAAATCTCATCCAGACGACGTTGTGGGAGAACGATACTTCAAGGTGCAGAAGGCTTGGGAAGTCCTCGGCAGCTCGATGTCTCGTGCAGCTTATGACAGAGAGCTCCAAGCTGCCAAAGGGGATGCAATGGGTGCAGAGAGCATAGGCTTAGAGGATATGGCTGTGGAAGATAAAGGTGAGGTTGTAGAACTCTTTTATCAGTGCCGCTGTGGTGATTACTTCTTTATTGATTCTGTGGAGTTGGAGGAAATGGGATATCCAATGTTGAGGATTGGGAGTAAGGTTTCCTTAAGGACGTTCGATGCGTTGCCTGCATCTATTGTTTTGCCGTGTGGTTCGTGTTCTTTGAAAGTTCGTTTGTTAATCGATTCGGGTTCGTGTGCTTCAATTGATTGTTGAGTTTGAATGATTGAAATCATATTGCTCTGTTTTAAGCTCCATGGGATTTCTTTCTTGAATGATTGTGATGTTTGAGAGAGAGTTTATGAATATTTAGTGTTCTTGGTGGAGTTTGCATGGGTTTTCGTAAGTGGAAGTCGAACCTCACGTGTTGGACTCGTTCTGGATATAGCCCTATTTAGATTAGTTCACGCTCCCCTATTGGTGAAAAAATTTCTACACAATTATCTTGCAACGCTCGCCCATGCCATGACACATACATGTGCCACGTTGGAGAGCCACCCCATGTCTCCCCTTATATACATTCATATTTGTTCTGAAACTCATACGCATCAAAATGACAATGAGTCACGAGCCAATGTGAAGCGTCTATCTGATGTCTGATTGCACTAAACTTAGGTCCCTCTAACACCACGATGATACCATCACTTTTGTTCTTGTTTGCACCTTAAATTGATAATCTTTCACTCTTCTTGGTGTTCTAGATGATGCATCATCCTCTTCGATTGTACATTATACTTTTCTATCTTGCCCTTGATATGACCTAAGGAGCGACAACATCATGCTATCATTACTTTGTCTGCAATGCAAAAGTCGAAATGCAAGTCATAGCCTATTTTTTTTTTCTAGTATGATGGTGGCACTCTCCGCATTTACACTAGACATCATTCTCAATAAACACCCTTATACACCTTTGAATGGTATACAATTAGAGAAACGGCGAAATAAGGGTTTGGGTTCTTATCATAGTTTTCAGTATACAATTAGAGAAACGTCGAAATAAGGGTTTGGGTTCTTATCATAGTTTTCAATATACAATTAGAGAAACGTCGAAATAAGGGTTTGGGTTCTTATCATAGTTTTCAGTATCATGTGGTAGCATAATTATCGTCTTATGATGATCATTGCCAACAGAAGACCTTTCATAGCTTTTTGGGCAGAGATTTTTTCTAACTTAAGTCCTAATATTATAGTCTTTGTTTTTTTCTTTAAAAAAAATTATTTACCAATTTGATCCGAATAAAATTAAAATTTAGTCTCTATAGTTTATATTTCCGAATCAAAAATTCTAAATGGACTATTTATGAGAGTTGAATCGAATTATAGAGACTTTTGACGAGATTTTATCAAACCTTCTAATTTTTATAATCATAGAGACTTAGTTCTAATTTTCTCCGAACTTTATAGTGATAATTACAATTTAACCAAAAAGAATTGATAAGATAATAGAAGACCACGGTTAACAAACTTAATAAAAACGACAATACGACAATACAAGCATATAACTCAACAAACTAGAATGGACAAGTCATCATTTTTCTAAAAATTCTAACACAATTATCAAAGGTTATTCTTTTGTAACAACTAAAAGTGAAAAAGAAAAGTAATTTTTTAAGTCAAGAATTACCTAATAATATTATTCTCAACTTACTTTAAGATAAGATGTCTCTGTCTCCATCTCCATCACATCTTGTAGGAATAAATTTTCAGCAATATCATCTTGGACTTTAAGCATAGCCGTATGAAGATGCTTTGCCTCACGTAACAAGCATGATGGAGAACAACTCAAAATTCGCCATCAATAAACATATAGCTGCTCCAACAGAGCATCCAATAAGCACTTCCTAGTCACGAGTCTTGGGAGAGTCTGGTTATAATTACTTACCGTTCAAACGAACAGCCTAACGAGACGAGTCTCATTTAATGCGCACCACCCACCACCACCATGTCCTATCCAGTCACTTTTCTAGAATTTAATATCTTACGAGTTTCCTTACAACAAATATAGCAGAGTATGGTGGATTGTCTCGTAACAACAATCGGGATGCATGCAAACTATTTCAGACCCTTACGAATATCCAAAAACAATAATTGATATGGTATAGTTATAGATTTGCTGTTCTAGATTTTCTAAAAGCCAGTTTTGATATCAATTTCTAAGTTCTCTTTGAATCGATACTTCGGTTCAACATCAAGTTTGATTAAAAGAAAAAGAAAATCAAGCCACTTTATCTACTTATACCCAGTGGTACTAAATAAGTTCAACATCAAGTTTGATTAAAAGAAAGAGAAAATCAAGCCACTTTATCTACTTATACCCAGTGGTACTAAATAAGAACAGTATACGTAAACAGCATACCAGATTGAGACCCGACTTTTAAAGATCGGTTGATTTGGTTTCGTACTCTTCTCTCCCATGAGCTCGAACAGTGGAACTGGCCGATCTTGACAAAGTTGTCAAAAGTAGGAGATATTGGTTGGTTAAATGTCTGAAATCACCGAAATCTTGAGCATTAAGTGAGAGTCCAAATGCCTTAAAAAGTAGGTGTTAGATTAGCACATAGCATGGCCAATTAATATTCAAAGTAATGTAAAGAGAATGCAGTGTGAGCTTTCAGCTGGAATCTCTAGTGCAGTTCAACATCATTAGTTGGAGTGTCGTGTGTTCCTTCTTACTTTATCTTTACACCTAAGGATTAGAAAGCGTTATTTTCAATAAGCTGAGAAGGCACCGTAAGAAATGGAGCCATTTTGATCCCTAAAGTGGAGCGGCAGTAAGGTGCAATTACTTCTCTATATATGTCACTGGCTCGTTAAAGGAACTAACAAATCCAGCCTCTCAAATATGGGGGTCTTTTATCAAGAAGACCCACCAAATCCTTCTAAGAAATCCTTTCTAGCAGCTGCTTTGAAGGATGCATTTTGCAACTGCCATACTTTTAGCAGACAGCTACCGAATTCAAACGCAGAGGACAAATATCCTACGAGTGACTTCGATGATGAAGAGGAAGTACTCACCAGCTAATTCTTTTGTTTTCTCTTTCATCTTATATGAAATCTGTTTCTCTTAAGTTTTTTTTATCTTCTTCTCAGGAAATTGTATCAGAAATCAGAAGTCGAGCAATGGAAAAGTTGAGACGAAAGACTAACCTGTCGGACAGCTTTTCCTGGGTTTTCTCACCTGCAACCAAAGAATTGTATATAACATCAATGGAGATTGAGAAAATGGGTGAGTCTAGAAATGAAGATAACACAGGAGATGAGTTCTACTCAGTTCAGAGTTTTCTCACATGTTGTTCAAGTGCTGCAACCAAGGAAGCATTCTTTTCTGTGGAGGCCAACTTTTCCCGAGGTTCGAGCTTAAATGGTCTTGATTTTGTAGACGAAGATCTCAAGAGGCACACTGCCTTGCAGGAACTTTGTCATTGTGAAGGATGGCCGTTCGGTCTTTGCAGGAAGGCACTGTTCGTTCCTCCTCTGCCCAAGTCGCCATCTGAATCTTGGTCATGGAGTAAATGGAATAAAGGCACCAAAGTTGTAAAGACATATTGATGTCCAAATCCTGTGCTAAGTTTCATTTTTGTAGAGGCAATGTTGGGAGTGAAGAGTCCAACAGACCTCCTCCAAGCTAGTCGTCTGATTATATCCAATTTTCACCTCTTCTTTACTTCATAAACATATGCTTTAACACTTAAGTTATTAACAACAATTACGAAGTTACTGTAGCAATAATCGGAGTTAAGGTCGACTCCTCCACAGATCACACAGATCGATATAAAACTCAGAAATGCAAAAATTTAGAAACTGACGATATAAACTCGTAGAAGAAACCGAATAATTGGTAAACAAATGAGGATGTTAAATTCTGTTTACTCATTCCTCAAGGTGAGATCTTATTCAATTGCCATTAACTCCACGGTTAATTGGTTTTGAGAGAAGATGCACAATAAAACATTGAAGAACATACACTCAAACTAACGGAAGCTTGCAATTACAGCCAAATTTATGCTCTTTGCTCGACATATGACCCTGATAGACCAGAGGTTCCCAGCACAGAAACCTGTCATAAAACAAAAAAGAAAACATGGTAAACGAAACCAAATGATCAATGTCATTTATTAGAACAAATGTGTGGACTGTTTCCGAAGCAACTATGCAATGAAATTTATGCTCTTTGCCAGATTACATATCGGAATTTGCGTACCTTTCCCCACTCAGATCCAAGGCCACTGCATCTCATTTTCAAGTGAATCATCTTTGTTCCCAACTCTGTTTCCACTTTCTTTTTCAGATAGTTTTCCTCGGGACCAAATGCATCCAAGTAGGCAGTATAGCGATCATGAACCGTCTGTAGTGCATTCTTAAGCTCATTGGACAAAGGCTTAACATCCTGCAGATGGACTCAGAAGTTTTTACTCGATAAAAAATGGCAGAAGAAAATAACTTAGGCCTCATTCAATAACCATTTCGTCTTTAGTTTCTGTTTTTTAAATTTATGTTTGTTTCCTCCCAAATTCTTTCTTATAGTTTTCACAATTTTAAAATAAACAATTTAATTTAGAGACAAATTCCAAATACTTTTTAAAAACTACTTTTTTAAGTATTCAAAACTAAGATTTTTACAAAATAGATAACAAAAAAAAAAAAAAAACACTCATAGGTGGAAGTAGTGTCTATAAGTTTGATTTTTTCAAGAACTAAATGGTTTCAAATGGGGTTTTAATTTGATAATTCTATAGTTTCCAATACCTCGCCGCTAAGACCAATGCTATCATCAATTTTCATTTTCAAGCTGGTAAGTATACCACCAAACTCCTCGGCTGCTTCAGCTGCTCGGAAAACATTTTCCACAATTTCCTTTCCGGCCTCGTCGTTGGTGCTTCCAGATAATGCTGCCTTCACATCATAGACAACAGGCTCAGGAAGGTTATCCCAACTTGCGGCCATCAAATCCTTGAAAGCATTCTGAAGCTTGGAATCTTCAATTGTAGGCATATGAACTACATCAACACTAAAAAATCTAGCATGCCCTACGCCAGATAGATAGCCACAATCTGCAGAAATTTACCAGATGAAACATGAATATGATATCTTATCAAACATTATAATACTGAAAAAAGAATTGAAGTGTCTATGTAGATTGTTCAGTCACTCTAGATCATCGTGGCAGGTTGGGGCAATAAAATTTGTACAACGCATAATTGCTGCACAGAACATGTTGAAATTTTTACCTTCTCCCATGGATCTTATCTTTTACGAATTAATCAAACTATATGTTTGCTATCAGGAATGATATTCAGTTTTGGAAAGGTAAATGACTTCTAAAACTTCATTTGATATTCCTTGCTCTCCTATACGAGATTGATTTTCTTGCAATTCTTACAAAGGCATTGCTTAAATTTTATATTTCACAACAAAATTATCTACAAATTGCAGACTGTGAAGGCTTCTCGCACAGTCGACTTCATGATAAATATTAATACAGCAAAGAATATAGCTATTTACTGTACAAATACAGCAAACAAAACTTTGAATTGAAAGAAATACATCTGCATGTACACTCGACGAAGGAAGAAGCATCCACAAGTACATCAACAATCATTAAATAAAGAACAGTGCATAACTTCGTCAGAAACCCCACACTTCCGTGCAAAATCAATCCGGAGACATTTGAATCTATAAAACAAAATTACGAATACAACAAATTAATAGGAGTACCATAAGAAACTCTCAGCGGAGAATCTGAGAAAGAAGAACGAGGCGACGATATATAGGAGAAATTCCGAGCGGCCTGGTAGTAACTTTGCAGTAAACTCCGGTGTCGGACGCCGGCGATGCTGTAAGATCCGGCGCGGACAGAACGCAATAGTGATCTGAGAACAACCATTTTCTCCATCGCTTTCGCTTTTTCCTCGGACTGCAAAATTGAAAGCCAACTTCGGAGGGTGAGGGTGATGGAATGAATCGAAACGATGGGGGAAGAAAAAAACAAGAAGGGTAAATATGTAATTACACACTATACATTGACACCTGTCACTCTCAACTTCTACTTCATTTGTTTTTATTGTTGGGCCATTAGGCCATGGCCCAATCATCGCATTTTGGATAAGTTTTTTTAAATTCATTTATAGAATTTGATACATTCTTTAATTTTTTTTCTTTTATAGAATTTTAATTTTAACTAATATCCTAAATAAATAATAGATAAAATGCAGATTACCCTATCTTCGACAAAAAGAATTGTTTGCTACGGATGGTCCAAGTCCTTTTCTGACCTTTAAAAGAATAAAAGTAGACAGGGGAAGGTCGGATGATATAAGAAAAATCACCCCTGAAGCATGAAAGAGCATTGAGCGGGAGCAAACCTTTAGCTACTAGATGTACCGACCTTTTCCTCCTTTCTCCCATAAAGCTTCCCTTCACCCAGTCTCATATCCAATTAGTAGAGATCGAGATGGGAAGACTCAAAAAAAGACAAATGTGCATTTCCTCTCTGAATCGAGAGGTATTAGATCGAAGTAACATCATTCATGTATTCTAATTTCAGGGCATTAGTGCCAATTAGCAGTCGCTTTTTTTGGAAGGCGAGGTACTTATGTGTGATCACAGATTCCACCGTAGGTGACAAAAAAGGAAGCTTGGTTGAAGTGGAATAATCTTCCGGTCCAATGAGCGTATATGCCTCCTTGGCCTCCGGCTTCTAGCCTTCTTAGCTTTGCTACCCCGGCCCTGTGGGGGCAGCAATTTTGGCGGAGGAACTTTGTGATAGAATCTCATTTTGTTGGCATGTAGTCATAGTAGCTTGCTTCCAAGCCACTGCAATAGATGCACATGTGGTCATAGTAGAGTCGGGAGTCGGCTTAGAATGCCAACGACCCACTAGATGTGCATGTGGTCATTAGTAGAGTCGGGAGTCGGCTTAGAATGTCACTGTTCTATACAAAAAGACGACCTGAAGTGGTCTTTGCACTGCAATTGATTATTATTCTTTTAAGCCATTCAACCTCGACTCTCCTCTTAAAATCATTTTTAAAAAAATGATAACAAAAAAAAAAAAATTGGTCTAAGACTTATTATCAGATTAGAGTTAATGTAAAGTAGGCCATTGAATATTAACAATAATTCAGTAAAACAATATAATTTACTTATATTTTATCAAATGTTTAAATTCAAATAATATAAATTGCTTTTTAATGAAAATTTTGAACTGAGAATTGTAGGGCTTTACCCCGAAGGGAGCCCTTCCAGAAATTCTCGAAGGCCTGAGCCAAACCCAGGCCTAAGAGGGGGTTTGGAAATAGTTTTCAACCAGCAATTGACGCGCCTCGGTTAGAACCTCACTAGCTGCGTCATTGCCCCAAGCGCAAAGATGGTTATTGCCCAACACTTCGCTTCCCTTTTATAGCCCGATTGCAGAGTTGCACGTTCACGTTTTCCGATGTGGGATTCAGAAATACCAAGCCCAACCCCCAATAGATTTGTCAGATTAACCAATTCCATAATTTAATGCAAAAGGTTTTAAACAATTCGATAATTTAATTATTTTGTTTTTGAAAATATATTTAATTCCTTCACAACTTTTTAATAAAATTAATTTTGTGAATATTTTGCTCAAAAATATCCTGGTGACAATAACAAAAAAATTCCTATAATACATAATATAATTTAACTTTTTTTTTTAATTAGTTAGATAGATGGTCCAAACAACTCGAATAGAGTTCACACAACCCAACTAGTTGGATGTCCCGTTGTTCTTTCTTTTTTAATTATTTAAAAAACCCCTACTTATCTACCATAAATATTATATTAATAACTAAAATCTCGTAAAGTCAAAAGGTTAAACATTCATAAGCCATACTGCATCATTAATATTGGTTACCTACATCAAATATTCTCAATTTTCGTAATAATGTTTGAGTTGGTCAGATTGGTCGGGTTGACCCAAAAAAAAGTCAACTCTCAAATCGACCCAAAATTTTATTTTAAAAAATTCAAGTTAATCTAAACGAAAAAAAAAAATAAATAAATCTTAAACAAGCACAAATAGAATAATAATCTGATTAATCAAATAATACACTCAATATTTGTATATTCCCGAATGGGATCTAACGAAATAATGTTAATAATAAAAATGAGTTATTTATTTATTTATTTATTTGTAAATAAATATAATTTTCATAATATTAAATCTTCTTATTCGACGTTTGCAGGTGGTGCAGCCTTCCCGTGAGGCGACCTCGCATGGCGTAGCCACCTTTCTCGGGACAACATTTTTGCAAACCTGCATCATTAAATTTTAAAACTTTTTTTATTTTATACAAAAAAATAATAATAATTAATTAATTAATTTTAATTACTTAAATAAATTTCAAAATATTGCATTTTTATTTCTAAATTTTATTCCTAAATTTTGAATTTAGTTTTCATTATATATTTTAACATTTTACACCTTAGACCTTCAATTTTTACTAATTTTTACTATTTTTTTTTTGTCATTTCTGTTAATTAGTTGATTTAAATATTTAGTTTCACTATATTCCATAGCTCATAAAAATTAATTTAAAAAATTAGACAATCCTAAACCCTACACCCTAAATCGAGGACGAAAAAGATGTAATAATTTAAAATTTAGGGTCTAAATAGACATTATATTCAAAACCGAGCAAAAATGTAACGTTTTGAAACAAAGACTAAATGAAATCTAAACTCGAATTTGAAGTATCTATAAAAAGGACGGTGGATGTAATTTTTTTACCTTGTAAGAGCTTGTTCATTAGTTTCAGCATCAGTAGCTTCAAAGACACCGGTTTCCAAATTGACTCTAGACACGGGTTTCTTCAACAAATTTTCACCAACCCCAACAAGATCATCCAAGTTCTTCTTTGTGGCTATGTCCACTGACGATACCACGTTGCTCAACGTATCGTCCTATAATCACAGTTCACTCAAACATGACAATCCACCGAAATGTCAAAACAAGAACAAGAACAAGAATAAGAACAAAACCTGAATTCGAAGATAGTTATTTTCACAACGAAGGGCTTTGAACACGACGGAAAGATGAAGATCGACCATATCAGAACTTGCATGAGAAAACACGTCGATGATCGGCGTTGAACCGCTAGCAGTCAGCCATTGCAACAGCCCCCATTTGGCTGCTTTCTCTGCTGTGTACTTCATTTCATCTTTTGGACAGCCAGTTCCCAATGATATTACCACAAATCTTGAGTAATCGGTTGGTTTTATAGCAAAGAAATCAGGATTTCCTTTCAATGCCTCCTTTGTCACCTCACCCATAGCCAACAATGTCTGCATGTTTTTGATTTATAACTATATTTGGATTTATGGAGGTTTCGTTGTATTTTTCAATTTTAGAGTATTATTTTTAAAATTTTAAGCTACGATTCGTTAGTAGTCGTTATGTATTTATTAGTTATGGAAGTTACAATCTTTCAATTGACAGTTACTAAATTAGGGTTTCGGTTTGAAGTTAATATACACGGTGTTATAGGCTTTTTTATTTTCGAAATTCAAGTTGTAACACTCATGTTTCCTATGGAAATATTAAGGTATTAGGGGGAGGAATCAAATTTTCGAAGCTACCGTAAAACACGAACAGGCCACTAATGGTACCCCGATGTAAAACAAACAAAAAAATCCTACTTTTAGTACGATGATCTTGGATATTAAGATGAAAGTTGCTTAATATGTTTCTTAAGCTTCCTTTTACATTTCTTGTGTTTAGATTTGCATGTTAGCGTCATTCGAATAGATTTGATCAAGCTATTCTATAGAGTGATGCGAATCACGAGCATAAAAACGAGTTTGATCTTAATCATCAAGGTAATCAATTCAAAAACTTTTCATTGGGTTGATTCTTATCGTTTTGTAGTTGGATAGTTTAGATTTAAACGTTTTGTTCTTCAAGAAGATTGTTAGATCGAATTCTCGAGAGTTTCATATCAATAAACCCATACATACCGGATTATTTGCAGCAACACCGCCATCGACGAGGTTAAATTCCCGATCGTTACCATTGGCGATGTCTCGAGTTTTGAAATGATGAGCAGGAAGATAAGTAGGTGCAGCTGAAGTTGAAATGCATATGTCGGCGACAGCCGCATTCAAACAAGGTTTGTTCTTGAGCTGAAAATGTCATTAAAAAAATAATAATAATAACATAATGTTATGTTTATTAACTCCAACAAAATTTGAGCTCTGTAAAAAAGAAGAGTAAACAAAGAAACCTCGTAGCTGGAGAAGATGGTCGGTTGAAGGAGCTTGATGTCGAACGTGGGGATAACAACGTTGGTTAATGTTTGCTGCAATTTTGTGTCGCCTAGCTTTTCCTTGAGGAGCTTGTGGAGATACTTCCCATTGTATTTTGGACCCGATAGAGCTTTGATCATCTTTCTCACTCTCGACCTACTTTAAAAGTTTCAATAATATTTTTAAATTAAAAAATAAAGTATTATGGGTTACCTCCGGAACGAACGATAAGGGTATTTTTGGAATAAAAGTATTTTTAAGACAAAATACCGTTTTTGGGGGAAGATCTTAGGACAATGATCGAGGTAGAATTCTTTGATGTCTTTAGCTGAAAACAAGGGACGGTTGTTTTCATTTGGTGTAGTTAACATGGCGGTCACCAATCCACCCGTACTTGTTCCAGCAATCACATCGAAATAGTCTGCAATTCTTGCATCATCACCGTCCAATTTCTACATATTTAAAAAATTAAATGATTATCAAATGTGGCCCAGTAAATAAAATGAGTGAATAACGAGCATATCACTGCATCGATACCTGAAGTTCAGACTCTAGAAAATTCAAGAGGATTCCCGGGATAAGCCCTCGAATTCCTCCTCCATCAATACTCAGCACGGTTATCAGGTTTCCAAAAGTCGGGGGTTGCAAGGAAACGTTGGTGGGATCCATGAATGAATATTGAAAAGATGAAGGACTTAGATACAAATATGTATAATGTTTTTGGAGTATTATGTTTTGGTATTTATAGAAATCTTTGAAACAAGTTAAAAAGTCAACGGAGTTTGAACTTTGAATGAAGTGATAAGGTTTCAACTCATTTACATTGAAAATAATCACTTTTTTCTTTTCTTTTAAATGTTTAATAACTTATGACGTCAAAAATTTAATATAAGAATAATTTATTAAATTTTGATATCTATCTGATTTTTTATTTTCAATTTTTTAAAATTATGCCTTTTTGTTACAATTTTTTTTATAATAATTTTATTTTTGTATTAAAAAAATATTGGATTATTAATTAAATTTAAAAAATTTAAAACTATCTTTAAAAATTTTAAAAATTCAATATTATATATAAAAGTATTTTTATAACATATAAAGAATTTTCAACCCAAAGATAAAGTCTTAAAAATTTAGAAATAATTTAATGATTTGATTTTCGTAAAGGAAACAAATTCCAGCTGTCATTACTTGCATGTTGCATGGCCACGTAATATTTTTCAAGTATCTTAGTTATGTAAATCCTCATTTAATAGACTGGAAAATGATATTTCTAAATAAATAAATAAATAAATAAACTAATGGGCCAAGTTGGTTATTTAGAAAATTAAATTTTAGTTATTAATATTTTAATTAAACCTTGTGGATGGCCAAAAACTTTGGTCCAATTGTTTAAATATTCAAATCAATAAAATAAAATATTGAATTTGAGATACAATTATATTATTTCTTTTAAATTTCTACGATTATATTTATTGAATTAAATAAAACTATGATAATCTTTTGGGTTGTTTAGTAAATTGCCATTTTCATACGTTGAAAGAATAAAATCGAGAAACTGCTCTAAGTTCACTCCAGTAGATATTATTTTCTTTGGGTTTTTCCTTACAGACTTCTCCTCAAGCTTTTAAAACGTGTCTACTAGGGAGAGGTTTCCACATCCTTATAAATGGTGTTTCGTTCTCTTCACTAATCGATGTGGGATATTACAATCCACCCCTCTTCAAGGCCTAGCGTCTTTTCATTGACACTCGTTTCTTTCTCCAATCAATGTGGGACCACCACAAAATCCACCCCCATTCGGGGCTAGCGTCTTTGTTGGCACAGTTCTCCTCCCCAATCGATGTGGGATATTACAATTCACCCCTCTTCAGGGTCCAACATTCTCACTGACACTCGTTTCTTTCTCCGATCAACGTGGGACCCCCACAAAATTCACCCCCTTCGGTGTCCAGCATCCTTGCTGGCACACCGCCTCGTCTACCCCCCTTCGGGGAGCAGCCTCCTCGTTGGCACATTGCTCGATATCTGGCTCTGATACCATTTTTAATGGACCAAGCCCACCACTAGCAGATATTGTCTTCTTTGGGCTTTCCCTTTCGGACTTCCCGTCAAGGTTTTTAAAACGTGTCTAGAGAAAAGTTTCCATACCCATAAAGGGTGTTTTGTTCTCCTCCCCAACCGAGGTGGGATATCACATTTTGTCTTCTTCAATTAATATAAATTTGGTCGATATCAATAATTCAAAGTTTTTTTTTTCTTTTTGATTCAGTTAACGTGTAAAAAATTTGAATCTTTTATTAAACTAATAGCTTCCCATCTCAATAAAACAGTAATAATAATAATAATAATAATAATAATAATAATAAATAATAGCTCAACAAAAAGCCGTCAGCTACTAACGTCATGAACAAAAACGAGCAGCCTTGACATGTTCTCTGTTTATTGTTTTGGTCAACCCTTATCCAATTGTGTTAATTGACAGTCAAACATTTTACAACATCACTCATTTTAACCATAAATATAGGAGATTTTATTTATTAATTTTTATTAAAAAACGATCGATAAAGATATCCTCTTTTACTTGTATACGTTCACACAAGTCCCTAATAACAAACATCGATCTCTAACTCAAACCATTCTAAAGTTTGAACGGTTTATTTTAATTGAAGTATTCTAAAGTTTGAGCAAGATTTTCAACTCACTATAAGATGTTTTCTTGTTACCGAATCGAAAGGAGCATGTCTAAATAATTGGTTCTTTTTTGTCTCAGCTATTTACAATCTCGATATTAACTTGAGCGTCAGTGTGTAGGTGGCTTAGTGTCACAATCACACTCTTTTAGCAACAGTATTGTATGACACTTGTTCTAACTCAGTGAACAAGTAAATCACGATCCAAGTGAAGGACAAGACACTGTTTCTTATTTACAAGCAGGTGGTGTGGAGTGGTCGAGAGGATCGACGAACCTGAGAGAGCGAGCTAGAATCTAAGAAGACGACAAGAACTTTTCTCGACCTAATCTTTAACCTTGAGTCACATTTTGAGACAAAATGTATTTATAAAACATGAGCGAGGAAATGAATTGAAAACAGTTTGAAAGAAAGCACTTTAAATGTCAATTGCATTGAAAACCAGTAGACAAGAGAGCTTACAATCGTGGTCAACGGAGGGTTGATAACTACTTGATTCCTATAATACATTCTGAGACATTTCATATTTGACAACAGTAATATATGAATTTACCAAAGTGTCATACGCACATAACTTATAATAATAAAATAATATAACATGAAAGCAGATAAAAATGTTTGGTACGACATAATTATATTATTTTGTTCGGACATTATTTTCACTTTAGCTATGACAACAAATAATTGACTCAATATAAAGGAAATATATAATTCAAACTCTTATAGTTTAAACAACATGAAAGGGAAGCTTGTAAGTTAATACAATAAAGAATAATAAATAAAGGATTAATTTTATTAAATGACATCATTTATTTATTTATTTAAATAGTCAATTGAGTTCCTTTGAAATTGGCAGCTTTTCCATGAGAAGACCAGGCAAGGGAGAGCCGCCTTTCATCCGACAGCCGTTTAGGAAAGCTACAACGAGAGAGACAAGTACGACATGTCGTTTATTCCAAAAGGCAACCTTGTAGCTAGACAAGATGTCGAACGTTGGAACTACAACGTTGGTGAGTGTTTGGTTTAGCCTTGTATTTTGCCTTCTAATTTTTCATTATTACAAATTTTTTTAAATTATTATTTAGGGTTATTATTGCGGGACTGTGACTCGAGTTTTTTCGCATGTGTGCGAAAAATTGAACTAGGGTTCCCGTTTTAAGTTCTTTCTCTTCGAAATCCAAGTTTCAGTGTTGTTTCCAACGAAAATATTGAAGGTAGCTTTTTAGAACCGTCCTAGAAAGCAAGCAAAAACCTATCGATGAGCGAAACCATCGAATTAGGAGCATTCCTCACAACAATGTCAAAAAAGTACTGACCGCTGCCATAACTTTTCTCCTTCTTTCCTTCTCAATCTAGGTTCTTTTTCCCTGTTTGGAGACCACAAGTGTCATTACTATCAGGGATGTTCATTTAACCTATCGAGACCTGCCTCGAATAAGACAGGGAAGCTACGTTTAAATGGTGAATGAGAAGAGAATTTTTCTTATTAACTAAATAGAGACGAAGACGAGGATTATATGTTGAGTCGGTTTTAGATTATTTCAATAAAGACCTATTCTCCAGGCTTAGAACAGGTCAATTTTATTTTCTTGTTATTAGTGGAGCGAGTTGAGTCGTGTCCTGTAATTCCGTTTTTTCTGCAATTTTTGTATTTCCTGTAAAAAGGCATTGGAACCTATGAACAAAGACAGATCATTCGGGTGCATTTGTCAAGTCTCTGAAACTTACCGTTATCATTATATTCTCTATTCTCGACTAAATGAATAAAATCTTTGAAACAAATACGAATTTTATTTTTTATTCCTTTCTAAAATGATAACGATAATGATAATCATCTAAAAAACTCGCTACAATATAAGAATGATAATGATGTAAAGAGCGGTGAAAAGTGGAAGTTTTTGAATTCAATGGGCATCATGAGCTCCATTTTCCAATTTGAAGCTTGCAGCAGCTCTTCCATGGGGGGACCTTGCATGGCGGAGCCGCCGCTCATCGGACAGCCGCTTGGCGAATCTGCATGAGAAGAACCAGCGGTTAGCAGTTAAAGCAGTTATTAAGTAGTTGAGGGTTTAGATTGTTGCCTTTTAAGGGCTTCTTCATTTGTTTCTGAATTTGAACCACAATGCTCAAAGATTCCGGTCTCCAAATTCACCCATGAAACCGGCTTCTTCAGTAACCCTTCTCCGATCCTCACAAGTTCGTTAAGATTCTTGTCTGTTGCCACATCTACTGAGGATACCTCGCTCTTCAACGTGTCATCCTGTCGGTTTGTAAATTAATGTTTATTTTTCTTTTTTTTAAAAAAAATTAAAATTAATATCTATTTTGTTAGGAATCACCACTCTCTACGATGGTATGATATTGACCACTTTGAGCATAAGCTCATGGCTTTGTTATGGAGCCCTCGAATAGCCTCCCCTTACTCGAGGCCCGACTCCTTTCTGGAGTCCTCGAACAAAGAACACTCTTTGTTCGACACTTGAGTCACTTTTTACTACATCTTGGAGGCTCACAACTTCTCCCCTTATACGAGTCTCGACTCCTTTTTTGGAGTTTTCGAACAAAGTACACCCTTTGTTCAGCACTTGAATTACTTTTGACTAAACTTTCGAGACTCACAACTTCTTTATTCGATACTTGAGAATTCTATTGGCATGGCTAAGTTAAGGACATCCCTCTGATACCAATGTTAGAAATAATAACTTTCCCAACAATCCTCCTCTCGAACAAAGTACTCCCCTTAATCGAGACACGACTCCTTCTCTAAAGCCCTCGAACAAAATATACCTTTTGTTCGACACTCGAGTCACTTTTGACTACATCTTCGTGGCTCACAACTTCTTTGTCCTACGTTTAAGGATTCTATTAACATGACTAAGTTAAGGACATGACTCTGATACCATGTTAGAAATCACGACTCTCCACAGTGGTATGATATTGTTCACTTTAAGCATAAACTCTCGTGTCTTTGCTTTCGGCTTCCCGAAACGGCCTCAA